CTTTTTTATTGTACATAGAATTTTGTTTTATGAAATAAATAAAGTTTATAACTCTAAAACATCCTGCTTTCGTTCCACTGTGGCCTATTTTATGACAAACTTCCACGACCTATTGTTCAACATTTTCAAACTGGAGGAAACGGATGATAAAATCTATTTACGAATAAATCAGCAGTATTCTTTATCTTTTCTTTTAGACAGGAAACAGGATTTCAATTTAAACCAGAATGATGTTTTTGTTTTGCAGCTGGAAGAACGGACGTTCAGCTTTACACAACTGCCTGAATCTGGAAATCCCTTTTAGTACTTTAATGATGTATTAAAAGGTTTTAAGTGCCTGTGACATGCATATCCAKTAAGTACAAAAAAGTCAAAGAAAATATATTTATATTTAAGAAACTTGGTATAATACACGATTTTACCCGTTATGTCACATAATTGGCATATTTTCTTTTGAATTTGGCTCAGCTAAAGTCAAACAGGAAGTGACATCAAGAAATAAGAGAAAGAAAACTCCCTGGTTTTGTTTATTAAAACAATATTATTTGAACTTTTATTCTTTCTCATCTCTATAACAGTGATTAAAATTATCTACAGAAACATCAGATTATTCTCTACAGTCTGTGTTGTTGGTCATAGTAGCAATGCTCTGTTTGCATTCAGACACTCCCCTTTGACATCACTTCCTGTTACTGAACATGCAAATATCTCAACAWCTGTTCATCTCTGCTGTGTGAAATCGTTTTTGCAGTAAGTTATGAATGTGATATTTCCAAAAAATACATTCATATTTATTAAAAATATTGATGTCACAGGCACTTTAAGATGTTATCTAGTACTGCTAAGCAGAATTCAGATAATAGCTCTGTCTGCATCTACATCGTTTCTATCCAACCCATTTCTTCCCAGTAAAATGTGAAGATCCGACTTCGTAGAACAGTTTTATCTGACCTCATAAAAAATCTGATGGGAAAAGTAGAGAAAATAAAATTGATTTTGCAGTGACTTGTTACAAATTACATGTATAGATGAAAATGAACAGTTCTGATGTTGCTGTCGCCACTACTTTGTGTTTAAAGTAACACACCACACTGGGAACTGATCATCAACTCAACCACACACAGAAACTTTAAATTAGTAGTTGCATTTTCTCTGCTTAGACTTTTTTAAATGTACAGCAAGTACAAACTAGGGGTAATGACATAGGATTAAATTGGTTTTCAACATTTTAAAGAGACTTTTCACCTTAACGCTTTGTAGGCCCTTTTCAAATAAGGACAGCATCTCTGACAGCTTGTTGTCAGCGTGCACATTGTAGGCGGTGCAGCAGCGCTGCTGCAACAGGCCAATAATATACTCGTTCTCTATTTGTTCGTGCATCTTGAACTCCTTGAAGGTGGCACAGAGAGACTGAAGAAAGGAGCGGAAATCATTGTTGTTGGAGAAGTTCGTTTTTGACAGCTGGGGAGGAAGCAAACAAAACCACAGTCAATGATAATAAAAAAACACCTTATTTGTATACGCACAATGAAACTTTAATGTTATTTTCTACGTTTTGCTTTGGATCATTGGATCAATGTAAAAGGATCATATAAACTGGCTTTACTGCTGTTTAAAACCGTATATCATGTTACAGAACACGTTGCATTGACCTGTGTGTTTATCTAACACGTATTGTTAGGGAGCATTAACAAGCAGCCAGGTCCCAATCCCATTATAGAGCTCGGTTTAATCATAAAACCAGTTGCATAACAAACAACAATAAACTGATACTGGAAGAGAAGGCACGTCTTGTGGGTTTAAAATGGTTAATAAAACTTTTGTAAGCAATTTGGACACAAAACCTGAAATTCCGTATAAGTAAACGTCTCTGTGACTAACTACAGACCAGCTAAAACACCCGACAGATCAACTGAACACACCAGCTAGCATTAGCTAGCAGCTAGCATGCTAACATCATGCGTTCCCTAATCAAACGCAGCCACGGCTTTCGCTTTTACATCTCCAACCTGACGAAATGCATGTGTTGTTTTAACGCACCTTTTCGCAGTACAGACCCACGAGCTGTTTCATTCGCCAGTGCGGGCCAGTAAAAACATCCACCTCGTCTGGAAAAGGAGCCATCTTCACCAGAGCTCACACTGCGTCATCTGAGCTGGCAGCAGTATATCATCAACAAGGAGTGGGCGCGCTCGAGTCACGTGACCACTACTGCTCAAGCCAAGGGCGGGTTTTAGAAAGAAAATATCCAAACCAACTAAACGTTTGTTTGTTTGTTTGTTTGTTTGTTTGTTTGTTTGTTTGTTTGTTTGTTTGTTTGTTTGTTTGTTTGTTTGTTTGTTTGTTTGTTTGTTTG